CTCCCATTAAGGAATAAGTCCCTCCTATTCACACACCTCAGCCCCCTCCCATTAAAGAATAAGACCATCCCATTCACACACATCAGCCCCTTCCCATTAAGGAATAAGACCCTCCCATTCACACACCTCAGACCCTCCCATTCAGAATGAACTCCTCCTGAAGGCTGAAGGCAGCCACCAACCCAACCAGCTCACAGGAAAGGACTGAGTGAGTAATCCAGCACCCCCTGGGCCAAACAAGGGGAGAGGGCATTCTGGTGGGAAACCTGACTAGATCCATATCTGGGACTGTTAACCCTTTCAAGTAGCAGCCTCTGAATCCCCTTGCCCAGGGATTTCCTCAAGATAGCTGGATGAGAAGAGGATTCATCTAAGGTCTGGGATGGTACATCGGGAGAGGCTGGAGAGCTCTCCAAGAAGAGAAAGCCATCTATGGACCTGTACATAGGTGCTAAGTAGTTTGTCCTCAGTTTGATGCTCCTTGGGCATCCCATACACCCCTCACCCCATCCAAGTTCAATACCCCTAATAAAATGTGGAAAAAAAACAAGCTCAAGGACCGTTTATTGTCTCCAGAATACACGTCTGTGAAAAATGTGTGTTGCCTGGCTGTGCAGGACTATAAGGGGACCCAAAACTTCAGCAACTCCTAAGTTGTAGTGTTTCATCGATGGTAAACAAAATTTGGCCGCATAATAAAATGTTTCCTAAATATATACATTTTCTTCCATGGCAGGTAGGTGACCGAGTTCTAAAGCATTTTATCTCCTGTCTTGCAGCCTCTCAGTACCTTCCAAGAGACTAGATGGCGGTGAGGCCACCTGCAGGAGTCGCTGTCAATCCTACGTTCAAGACCGCCCTAGGAGGTGTGGCTGCCTGTAACATGGGAAGTTCAGGAAAGGAGAGTGCATTGTGGATTGGCTGGGAGGAGAGGAGGAGCCGTCCCGACCTGCTTTGTGATGGCACGATGACGTTGGAAAGGCGCAGATGCAATAACGGCCCAGCACAGGACATGAGACCACAACAGGAAGACCGGCAGAATCAGCAGGCCATTTACGTGACAATGAAGGGACATTGAAGATAGCAGATTTAAGGTGGTAATAATGAAGGCATACGGCTTGTTTAAGGATGTTTTATAGTTTCCACTTTAACTCCTTCAGTGTTTTGCTTTTAGGGTTTTTAAATATTGACTTTTGTAAAAGAAAAAAAAGAGAGCAATTTAATAAATTACTATTCTTGGTTCTATATATTGATGTGTAATAGCTGTTCACGGTGCGGTGAGGAGATGGCCGTCTTCATGAAGCCCCAACATACAGAAAGACGGCTCATCTACATCTCATCCTGATTGTAACAACCTCTCTGCTCGAGATCTGAAGAAGGAGAAGGCCTTTCCCCTGAAACGCGTTGCCTGTATTTAATGCTCTTAACCAATAACTGCTTTTAAATGATTGAACTGTTGTAATCGGAGCTCCTCAATAGCCACCCCAGAGTTCACTGTCAGAGGAACGCTCCTTGTGCTGCGATCAGAGAGGTAGCAGTCTAATACCAGAAGACCTATACCCCTGTAACATGGTCTTATTACCTCTTGATCCCGCCAGTGTATTAGTTATTTTTCCACTTCCTCTCATAGGTTGACAATGCTGTTTGTCCTGCAATGAGATTGTACAGCAGCGTTGTCACTGTGTGGACAAGAAGACTTAGATGGACATATAGTTTTAAAAGGACTTTAAATAGGAGACAACAGCTGGGGGTGAAGTCAACTGGCAAGAACAAGCAGTGTATGGCCAGATAATTAACCACTGACACCTTTTTTCTTAAATTGTCTGCAAGGAGGCATCCTTCCCACTGACCACCAGTGCAAGGTGGCACCTCTCCCATGGACCACCAGTGCAAGGTGGCACCTCTCCCATGGACCACCAATGGAAGGTGGCACCTCTCCCATGGACCACCAATGGAAGGTGGCACCTCTTCAACTGACCAACACGTCTTCCATGGACCACCAGTGTTAGGTGGCGCCTCTTCAACTGACTACCCATGTAGAGGCCCTTCTCCACTGCATAGCAATGTAAGCCCTCCTTCCCCTTGGGTTTCTTCAGAGGTTGCTAGAGGTTCCTTAAGCAGGATCAGACTGATCTACTGCAGGATGGTTCCTGCATAGTTCTGGAACTGATATCAGTTTGCAAGAGCAAGTAGTATAGAACCAGAAAATCAATCAGAAAATGAGGAGGTGATACCTCCTCAACTGACCAACAATGTAAGGAGACAGCCGTCCCACTGATCACCAATGGAGGGTAGCACCTCTCTCGCAGACCACCATTGGAAGGTGGCACCTCTTCAACTGGTCAACAATGTAGAGGCCCACGTCCACTCCTCAGCAATGTAAGGACCCCCTCTTGGGTTTCTCCAGAGGTTGCTAGAGGTTCCTTTAGCAGGACCAGACTGAACTACTGCACGATTGTATCTGCATAGTTCTGGGACTGATATCAGTTGGCAAGAGCAAGTAGTATAGAACCAGAAAATTTACCATTGACTTTTTGTTTCCTAATCTATCTGCATGGAGGCATCCTTCCCACTGACCACCAATGGAAGGTGGCACCTCTTCAACAGATCACCAATGTAAGGATGTAAGGGCACGGCACATCGGATCATTAAGGTATGGGGGCACCTTTCACATTGATCACATCACTGCACTATGAGCTGAAGATATAAATTTAGCAAGGGTTCCTTGAGGCCTGGAAATATTTTTTCAAGAGTTCCTCAGGGTAATAAGGTTGAGAAAGGCTGACCTAGAGTCATTATTTAGGTTCTCTGTAGCCTTCATTTATCAAAACGTCTAAAATAAAAAGTCTGTGTGGACTCGGTCACCCATCTGGAGAAAAAAAAAACATTTAATATGATTGTTGGGAGGAAGGAGGTAAAGGAAACATGGGCTGCTGGATTGGCAACATTTCATTTATACTACACTTTCATCTTAATTTATTTTGTAGACAGAGTAGTCTTAATAGGTCTCATACATGAGTCCAATATAATGCAGGGGAGCTGGGGTTGATTATTGGGCTGCTCAGTGCCTCATAGGCTGCTGCTCTGATTGCTTCCCCCTGTCTTCTGGAGAATTCTAGAATCATAGTGGGAGGAATCACAGAGCAGGCAGCCTGAATATCAATTGCACTCCAGCCAATCCCTGGAGGGGGGGGCAGTAGGTGGTGAGAGAGACCATAAATAGCAGCAATCAGTAGCAGGGTGCAGTGTTCCTTAGTCTAGTCCTGCTGGAGGAGAACCCCCTGTACAGGGACAGAGTACCAGAAGGAGCCATTAGGAAGACAAAGAGGTCTAGGCTTAGCTGGGGGCCTATTCACAAGCTCAAGTCCTAGAATCAAGTTGGGTCTGGAGAAGCTCACTGGAGAGAGCCAGGAGGAAGTTGGTGAGAAAGAGTCCAGCTGTTCCATAGTGGTATGAGTCTACATCTCCCTCACTGGGAAGGACCTGGTGAATATCAGCAGGAGGCCACATCTACTATGTGAGTAGATGACCCCAGTGCTGAAGAGGTAGTGACTGTGTGTAGCTTTGGGAGGAGTACCAGTCACCATCAGCATAGAGATCCTGTTGGACATTCTCTTGGTACAGTGCAGCACGATAGTTAAGGAGTCCTCAAGTTATCAAGTTCTTCAGTTTATTGGGCTATCCCATGCTCCCTCACCCAATCCAAGTTCATTATTCTCAATAAAAAAAACCCAAAAAACAAAAAGAAACCCCTAGACTGTTTTTTGAAGCCAGTGCAGTTGGCTCTTTAGGAGGTGCTCTACACACTGTAAATGAGAAGAATTGACACCATTGATTTTACAAGTCTACTCATGTCAATTGAGGCAGCAAACCCCCAACATATACGGCACATTTCACCAACATGCTAGCACAGACTTTGGAGAGACATATCCTCCAATGTGTTCTACTGGGTGATGGTTTCCTGTATGGAAACAACTCCTCAGATAACAGGAAACCCAATACATAGCAGCACAGAAACAATAAAAAAAGGTAAACACCCATTTCTGGTGATTTATCCATATCTAGATTGTGATTCTCAATACATTAGTAGAAACACAGTTTTGGACGCATCTACAGAAGCGGAATCTCTTTAGAAAGCAAAGTGTACCGTCCATTGGGTCTGGATGGAAATGCATGAGCGTTCCAGGGGCAAAAAAGTACAAAACTCTATTAAAAAATGTCAGTAGTGGAGAATTTAGAGAATCTTTATCTCGAGTACAAAACCATAGAAAGAGTAAAACACATTGAATAATTTATGTTGTAATTCCAGAGCCACACAGTATTAATCATTAAGGGTTTCCGATGCAAACATAGTAAAGTCAGGGATGCTAGGACTACCAAATAATGTTGTATGCTTTACCAACGATGCCTGGGGGCCTCAAATATTGAAAAGGATAAAAATATTACATTAGTACATACAATAAAGAAAATTGAGCCGTGCTTCATTGTATGCTACGAGGTTCACACGCACAAAACTCAACTACGTTAGAACAGCGGCTGCTACAAACGTTCCTACCAAAGCCAGGCTTTTATTCTTCTACTGAAGGCCAGCAATCAAATACAAACGCATGATAGGCTGTCAGAGGATTCTACACAGTTGTGCCATAAAGGCAAACAAGCCCCTAGGTATAATAGGGTGTCAAAACTCCTATATTTATATATATAAATGTATGTGTGTGTGAAGGGCACCTTCGTATCCCATCATTTTTGTCACTACAGGCTTTTGAACTATCTTCTTGGCCTGGTGGGAAATGTTCTGGCCTCAACGCAATGCTGTGTCTATGAGAACATGCCGTTGTTACCTGTGGACAGATCACCATGACAACAACAGGAAAAATGGGAACCACTGGATAAAATGATACTTCAAAAGCCTGCAAAGACATGATGCCAGAAAAAATTGACTTTTGTTTTTTTTTACCAGATCAAATTTGTCGTTTTATAATACAGTTGGTTTCTACTAGCTACTCAACCTCAAAATCCACATCAAGGGGCCTTATCGAAATCAGGTGTTGAGTTTTACCTTGCTTGATAGAGATATATCTTTTGTTGGAGGCCATGAAGACAACTTGAGGGTGACTTTCTTCAAGATCAAAGAGTTCATCTTTGCCAGGTTTGGAGCTCCGCCCAGCTTTCAAAGTGCCTGTAGGTCCCATTGGTGTCAAATACTTCCCAGTGCAATCTTTGAAGGCCAGCTTTCCAGCCTTGAACTCAAGAGTGTAGGCAGTGCCGTTATCAGGGTCCTTAACCAACTTTCCATCGTTACGTAGGAAGCGGTTATCACAAGTCTTCAAACAGTATTTTTTGTCCTGGTATACCAGGGTGATAAGGGAATGTACCCCCCATGGTATGTTGCTGTCTGTGGAGATCTCATCTTCTTGAGGGCTCAGGTGGGCATACCTTCTCCTGCTAACACTAAGAAGGTTAGCTTGAGGATGGATAGCCAAATGGACAGCCCAGAGCTCCGTCTCTGTGATTGTCTGTGCGAAACAGGACAGCTTATCTTCCGAGCCACCAAAGAACCGCTTGTGCATGTCCGACTGTAGGGCCCACCTTCCATCCGACTGAGCAGAAATGGTGAAACGGCAAGATTCCTCCGGCTTCTCAGCCTCGCATGACACGTTTCCATCTTTGTCGGCCGACAAGTATCTCCCAAGGTGGTGACTTTTGAGGTAGACCACCGAGTTGTCTACCTCATCTTGCTCTAAGGTCCAGATCTGCTTCTTTTTGAGGCTAGGAGCAGAGGCATAGACTTTGAAGCCAAAGGCTTCGGCTGTCAGATACCTGTTATCACAATTGATCAAGCCAAACTGGATCTTCAAAATCTGGTGTATTCCATTGGTTGGCATTTTTTCTTCTCGTCGCAACAACTCTCCCGTAAGTGGAAAAGTCTCGTGTTAGCAGCAGTCCCGCGTACAAACGCAAAAGGTAGGCACTTTGTCAGCTGCCCTGGGAGATCTGGATTAAAATGAATGAACTGAAATGCACCTCAACTTAACACCCAATGACGCGGTCTTGATCCTGCTCCAGTTGTCTCCACGTTGGGCAGTGCGGGCTCCTCTCCTATAATCTGCACGTTGACGCGCTCCTCACATCTCCCTCCCAGACTGGATGCCGCGGTGGACTTTCCAATTCACATATTAAGCTAGGACACAGACAGCTCAGCCAAGTGGTAGCTGCAGCCAGTTTAATTGGCCACATCTAGGATTACAAAAGCTCTGTCCCTGGTTTTCAATGAACCGCGATCCGGCAGTAACCAATAGTGGGGCTATTGCATAAGCCACAAAGAGGCTGCACGCCGCCAAACAATGCCCCTTTTGTCAGGTCGCTTCTCAAATATTCAACTCTACTGAGTGAACACTTTCCCTTCGATTATTCCGAGGCTCTTTAATTCTCTTCAGATGAAAGGAAAGTCTCTTAATGAACGCATCTCCAGTAAAAATTAGATGATAAAAAAGATGAACAAAAATTCTTCCCTTCGCCCGGTGCCTTTCCTCTGAGGCAAATGTTGCAGGTAGAAAGGAAAAAAAAAGCTGGTCAAGGTAATTGAATCCTCTCCCTCCTCCCCATCAGATGAATTCTGTCTGTATCTCTTGCTTTTTACACCTGTCTAAAATTACCTGCCTCTCTGATTCCTGTGGTACCTGTGTAGGTCACCTCCTGGTTCCCCATTCTGTGGCTCCGGGTATAATCTGCTTACCAATTATCCTGATATATTTTGTTTTTCTTAAAGTTTAATCCGTTTAGGCTTCCTATGGCTCCCTACTGTGCTTGGTATCCATCTGTTCACATCTCCTTCTAATTGTCAGCCAGGAACGTGTACCTGTCTGACAGACGAGACCTACATGTCTGGCCGTATTGGATATTATACCGTGTGTATTTAGATTGCAAGATTCCAAAGGATTTCAGGACATGGACTGAGACAGTGGAATCCTTGCCATGAGGGTCACATGCGTGACTCCAGCATCTCCTGGAGGACAATTTGGAAGTTCAAGGTCATTTGCTCAATAATTAGTCTTAAGCTGACAACAGCCATTGGATAAGTGAAGCGAACACGTGATCCGGCCTAAGAATTTGTTGATGTATTTCTTCAACAGAGACAGTTGTGCTGAAAAGTCTCCCTCCTCTTGCAGAAATGGTGACATTTTGGCATTGATATTGGAAATCTGACTGATCATGCCAAAACACTGTCTTTTATTGAAGGATAGTTGTGATGGGAGTGACTTTGGGTGGGGGGCCCATGGAACCCAGCTCACTTTGGGTGGGGGGCCCATGGAACCCAGCTCACTTTGGGTGGGGGGCCCATGGAACCCAGCTCACTTTGGGTGGGGGGCCCATGGAACACAGCTCAATTTGGGTGGGGGGCCCATGGAACACAGCTCACTTTGGGTGGGGGGCCCATGGAACACAGCTCACTTTGGAGAGGTGGGGAGACCCCTGTCTCAGCTCCCCATATCCCTCTTATGTGTAAGTCACCCTGTACCTGTTAGGGGTACAGGGGGATCTGTCCTAATATTGTGTAGACATGTATAGGAGATACAGTCAGGTCCATATATATCGGGACATGGACACAATTCTAACATTTTTGGCTCTATACACCACAATGGATTTGAAATGAAACGAACAAGATGTGCTTTAACTGCAGACTGTCAGCTTTAATTTGAGGGTATTTACATCCAAATCAGGTGAACGGTGTAGGAATGACAACAGTTTGCATAGGTGCCTCCCACTTGTTAAGGGACCAAAAGTAGTGGGACTGAATAATAATCATAAATCAAACTTTCACTTTTTAATACTTGGTTGCAAATCCTTTGGAGTCAATGACAGCCTGAAGTGTTAGAATTGTTCGATGTCCCAATATTTATGGACCTGACTGTAGGTGGGGTGGGGGGTTGGGGATTGTTTGGTGTCATGTGGTTGCATCCCATTGTTCTATTGTGTGTCTTGCTTGGGAGCAAACTATTATGGGATGTATGTGTTTATGTACTGGCTTGTTGGGAAGGGGGGGTGTCTCCAGCAGCCCTCCCTCCTGATGGGACTGTCTGTTGGTGTGTCTCTTGTTACTAAAGGTAGATTGCCCCGCCCTGTGTCATTATGCAGGGAGGGGGGATTGCCCCGCCCTGTGTCATTATGCAGGGAGGGGGAGATTACTTCCAGATTGGTGTCATCTAGTCTTGTATGGTCGGCTGTGGTGTCAGTGGTCGGTGTTCGGACGGGGAAGCGGAAGTACCCAAGTGCAGTCTGGGGTCGGTTCCGTTACAATAGTGATGATATGACGCCATTTATTATTGTTCGGCTCCTTTTTAAATCCTAATGATAACAGAAATCCCCCAAATGGCCCGGATCAGAAGTCCCCGCCCCCCGGATCAGAAGTCTCCGCCCCCGGATCAGAAGTCTCCGCCCCCTGGTAGGTTCGGCCTTGGCACAGACACACAAGGGTACAAACACAGGGACAATAGCAATTAGAGGTTCATTGCCCACATCTGTGGCTTTTTAAATTGCAATTAGTGTCTGTGTATAAATAGTGAGTTTGTTCGCTCTCACATGAATGCACTGAGCAGGCTAGATACAGAGCCATGGGGAGCAGAAAGGAAATGTCAAAAGACCTGCGTAACAAGGTAATGGAACTTTATAAATATAGAAAAGGATATAGAAAGATATCCAAAGCCTTGACTATGCCAGTCAGTCCTGTTCAATCACTTATTAAGAAGTGGAAAATTCGGGGATCTCTTGATACCAAGCCAAGGTCAGGGAGAGCAAGAAAGATTGCAGCCACAACGGCCAGGAGAATTGTTCGGGATACAAAGAAAATCCCCACAGGAGGAATCCAGGCTGCTCTGAAAAAGACGGTGTGGTTGTTTCAAGGAGCATAATACGACGATAGGTCAACAAAAATGCGCTGCATGGTGGAGTTGCCAGAAAGAAGCCTTTACTGTGCCAATGCCACAAAAAAGCCACAATATGGCCGACAACACCTTGACACGCCTCACTGGGGATTGTTTTTCTGACTCTTTACTGTAAAACTTGAACGGGTGCCGGGTAACTGTGGGATACTCTAGCAGCTTTAAGAAATAACTTGAGGGCTCTAATCTTCCTCCTAAGATTCTGGACACCATGAGCAATCCAGGACACCATGAGCAATCCAGGACACCATGAGCAATCCAGGACACCATGAGCAATCCAGGACACCATGAGCAATCCAAGACACCATGAGCAATCCAGGACACCATGAGCAATCCAGGACACCATGAGCAATCCAGGACACCATGAGCAATGCAGGAGACCATGAGAAATGCAGGAGACCATGAGCAATCCAGGACACCATGAGCAATCGAGGACACCATGAGCAATCCAGGACACCATGAGAAATGCAGGAGACCATGAGAAATGCAGGAGACCATGAGAAATGCAGGAGACCATGAGAAATGCAGGAGACCATGAGCAATCCAGGACACCATGAGCAATCCAGGAGACCATGAGAAATGCAGGAGACCATGAGAAATGCAGGACACCATGAGCAACCCGGGACACCATGAGCAACCCGGGACACCATGAACAATCTAGGACACCATGAACAATCCAGGACACCATGAACAATCCAGGACACCATGAGCAATCCAGGACACCATGAACAATCCAGGACACCATGAGCAATCCAGGACACCATGAGCAATCCAGGACACCATGAGTAATCCAGGACACCATGAGAAATGCAGGACACCATGAGAAATGCAGGACACCATGAACAATCCAGGACACCATGAGCAATGCCCCCTTAATTCTGACTCTAACACAAGAGGGGTGGTAGCAGCACACAGTCACTGGGAACTCTCACACCAGTCTGTACTCACTAATGTCCTTGGATAATTGGATGCCTCCTTCCAATATCTTCCTGCCGCCTCTCCTGTGAATTCTCCAGGCCAGATCCCCGAAGGACAGCTCCCTCGGTCAGCTCCAGTTGCATTTCAGCAGAATGGGCCCCCCAGCTAAGATAGCTGGAACCTCGATGAGCAGTAGACACGAGGCAGGCCTGCCCTCCAGGCTGGGATCTTCTCCTCTAGGACAAGAACCCGTCTGTTCCAAGCCCCCAGGCTACTCATGTTCCCTCCCAGCCACCATCTGGGAACCTCTCCCCAGGGATTGATGGGGACACCTGATGTAATGAGGCACTCTGATGGGGACTCCCAAAGTAAGGGGGCAATTTGATGGGGACCCTGATGTAAGGGGGCACTCTGATGGGGACCCCGATTTAAGGGGGGAATCTGATGGGGACCCTGATGTGAGGCACTCTGATGGAGACACCTAATGTAAGGGGGAACTCTCATGGAGACACCTTCTGTTTGGGGGCACTTTGATGGGGACCCTGATCTAAGGGGGCACTCTGATGGGGACACCTGATGTTATTGAACATTCTGATGGGGACACCTGATGTAAGAAGCCACTCTGATGGAGACACCTAATGTAAGGGGGAACTCTCATGGGGACACCTTCTGTATGGGGGCACTCTCATGGGGACCCTGATGTAAAGGGACACTCTGATGGGGACCCTGATCTAAGAAGGCAATCTGATGGGGACACCTGATGTAAGGGGTCACTCTGATGGGGACCCTGATGTAAGGTGGGACTCTGATAAGGACCCTGATGTATGGGGGCACTCTGATGGGGACACCTTCTGTATGGGGACACTCTGATGGGGACCCTGATGTAAGGGGGTACTCTGATGGGGACCCTGATGTAAGGAGGCAATCTGATGGGGACACCTGATGTAAGGGGGTACTCTGATGGGGACACCTTCTGTATGGGGGCACTCTGATGGGGACCCTGATGTAAGGGGGCACTCTGATGGGGA